GCGTGCGAGTAGCTCGGATTTTCGCGATGCGCGAGCAAAATTTTGATACGCTGCGCTTCTTGCTTGGACGACATTTTGACAACTGAAGAGTAAATTCCAAAATCAAAATAGGAGCAACATTCTACACACACACACCTTCAAAATTAGGGGTGTTCAGGTTTTTAAAATGCAAAATTGAAAGAAATACGTCAAGTTGATATTGACCAAATTTTGACCGTATCACCCTTTAGGTGATGTACTTATTGGAAAACACTGAGATCTTAACTCTGGACCTTCAGCTCGAGAGACTCGAATGTCTGTCAGGCCCGTCATTACAAAAGGCTAGAGAGTCATTAGCATTTCACTGAAACCAAAATTATTTCTGTATCATAAAATCGATAACTAACGCTGTCGGCCTTCAACGACGAACCTCCGCCAACTGTTGCCGATCATTTCCACACTCACACATGCTAATATGACCGACCAGCTAGCGCTCGGGAGGTGATTTATGACTCAAAGTGCCTGCTATCCAGCAAGCGAGAGAACAAGATCTCATCCTTCACCATAATAACAGATGGTGTCACACGCTATTAATCATTCATCGACGGGTGCCGAGCAGTTTGGCATCATCAACAAGAACCGCTTTCCGCACTGTGTGATTTTTATTTAAAACTGCTCTACCATCATCATTGTCTCCTCTTACAAACTAACGGCGTTACCATCGGGATGACACACTTTCACTTTTCCCCCCAATCGCCCACTAGAACTAAGTTATTTAAAGTTCCATCTTCTGCGGAAAACTTTAACGGAAAGAAAAGGCGAGGAGTGGTTCCGTTGATCGCGAATAAATTCGATGCAAAACTTGGTGATAAACTATTTCAAGCTACTTTCCATCAGATGGTGCAAGGCGCGGGTATATTGCGTAATCTGTTTTCCTGACGCTTTTTATTCGTTTGTTTCTCATGCACTGCATGAATATTCAAGAGTTCCCTCACAGGGAGACTTGCCGGTAAAATAGCGATTTATCCTTGCAGTACCATCATGCCAACCCCCAGCATCGCGAGCTAGTGGCTGGTAGTATCCTTCTGGGGATGAAAAAGGCAGTCTCGGATATAATATACCATTAAGCAACAATTTGCATGGTCAACTCTTACGGGTTTTCTGCATCTATGAGACAGTGGAAGTAGTAGTAGCCAAACGAAATGAGCTGTAATTTTGCAGTCTGATTTACGAAGCCACTCTCCAAGGCTTGTCTACTTGTTGAACGAAACTATGCCAGGCAAAATTTATGCTAATAAGCCTACGAATGGCATAGCTTCAATTGTTTCTTCTCTTACTAACAAGTTACATGAAGAGTAGTTTCAGCAATCTTCTGCGATGACATCGACGGAACACAGATGGAGCAATCCTGGTTGCTGGAATTCAATAAACACAGCATCAACTCATGTTCACCGCTGCTGTACATTTGTGCATCTTACGGTTATGCATTTTGTAGTGCATCAAACTGGAGGAGCGGAGGTATAACGAAATAATCCGACTTTTCCGTAAATGGATCTTTTTGCATCGATATTTTATTCATAGGAATTGTATCGCTCCCCTATCCAACGAAGAAGGCGCACGGAAATGGCTGCTTCTCCGGAACGGTGCGGTGAGACGGGTAAGCATTTTTGCAGAGCTGTGGTGGAACCAACGAATGAGACGGGTCGGGTGGGGGACGTTTCGATTTTGTGGGATTTGCAAATAGTCGATTTAGAGTAGCGTCATGGGGTGATATTGATCTTTGCCAGACTTAAAGTTTCATCAATACGAATAAAATATGCATTCCATGTTCTACCTGATTTTTAGTTATGTAAGTGAATGTAGTTTTCGTGGGCATGGTCAGAAACACTCCATACATTTTTAAATCGACCTTCTCCTATTTGTATGAAACTTGTTTGTTATTAGCAATGGTTCAATTTTTGTTAAAATTCAGCCATTTTGGATCTTGTTAAATTTTAAAAATAGCGTTCTTAGAAATTTCTATAAATTGTAGCACGGAAACGACATTGCTGATCGAAATAACGCTTGAAACAAAGTCGTAGAGAAAAGTAATGTTTTGCAGGAAAAATAGTAAAAGTATTACGAATTGCTGGAAATTTGCGTCCACTTCTACGAAGTTTTCTGAACTTACACAATATTTTATAGCTTGTACAATTCTTCTCCTTCCTCTCATTCCAAACTTATTACTTATCACATGCATTTCCACAATTATTAATTGAGAGATATCTGTACAATTTTTGCATTCGTATAATTGCGTGGCAAGTACAATCATATTCTATGCCCAGTGGAGTGGGTCATCATTATATGGAAAAACGCAAAATTTACCGCACCGATCGGGAACAACCCTTTTTTGGTTCCATTTGGAGTCCCAAACAACTGTGCAAAATTTGGGCACGATTGGTTGTAACTCGGATTTCCGCAATGCGTTTGAAATTGGTATGGAAATTAGTATGGGAAAACCAACTTTTTTGTATTTTTTATCCCTAGAGATCACAATTTTGCATGAACCGTGCAACTAATTATGTACAAATATAGTCCAGGAAGTACCTAACAACTTTGTCAAAGAAAGTACGGTGCTAGAATGTATCTAAAAAAAGTTATAGATATCAAATATTTATGGTTTGAATTAAACATCTAAAATACCTTTTTCTGCCAACACTGCCAGTGTACCAATGGAAGTCAGATTCCAAACTGAATTAATATCAGAGTTTCTTATCTTACCGATTTGGTATGTTCAGATGAATTATTCAAAAACAATTGCTCTATCTCATATGTGTAGTTGCGGAGGGCATGGGGGGGGTTGGTTAATAATATACCCCATCCTCCTCACTCATATCAATAGTTTCAGTTTGAAATAACTTCGGAGCTTCTTATTTCATTGATTTGGTATGTTCAAGATGAATTATTCAAAAATATTTGCTCAATCTCATAAGAGTTGTTAGACAGCTGGATGGGGGGGGCTACTGTATGCATATTTAAAACGAAAATTGTTGTTGTGTAAATATTTAATATCCACTTGTGGGTTCATTTGTTAGTGAGGAAATGTTTGAATTATTAGCAGCTGGGAAATTTTAAAAAGTTTTTATTTGAAATATTAAACTGCCGTTCGGGCCACCCGCATATAGAAAACACAGAAGTAGTCGTACGTCAAGAACAGGAGAAAACGAAAACTGTCTTCACCCGTTTCGTCTCAGACACAGGTACAGTCAGATTTCGCTTGTTGGGCTAACTGTAAGTGGGCTAAGTTTCAGTTGGGCTCTTACGTCACTTCTAACAGTGCTGATTCCTTTTAGAAATTTCGACCGGCTTCAAGCAAATACCGGCAAACGAGTGGAGTAATGATGCAGATTATTTCAATGCGATTCAACGAGTTGCTTCCTTGATGGTTGTCAACAATATAGCTGCATGAGGGGTGAAGCTAATTTCTGACTTATCAAGAAATCCACCCGAGACCTAGTTCAATAGCAATATTTGCTTCTAAGGATAGAAGAGCATCGAAAAAAGTACCCTGAGAAATCGTACAATATTTTAAAACGAAATTTAATCATTACAATCTAATGACATTTGTGTGAATATATCTGACATTGTATAAATATACAATATTGCACCAAAAGAGTAGGGAAGAGAATGGTAGTACTCGCTTTACAACTGCTCTTATGAGATATGAATGTTGTTTTTGAATAACCCATCCGACCAACTCGAGAGATGGGAAACTCCGAAGTTATTTTAGTCTTTATCTTTACTTTCATTGATATAAGTGAGCGCCGGAAAGCATACAGTAAACCCCCCATATCTAACTACGCATATTAAATGGAGCACATGTTTTTGAATACATCTAAACATACCAACTTGACAAGATCAGAAACACTGAAGTAACGGCGCCGGTGGTGTAGTGGTAAGCGTGATTACCTCTCACCCCAGCAGGCCTGGGTTCAATCCCAGTCGGCGCCGCCGGGATGTTCTGAGGCATAACATCTCTGATCACGCCTTCCTTCGGATGGGAAGTAAAGCCGTTGGTCCCCGGTTCATGAGTTGATGGGTCGATAGGTAGGGTCCAGGTGTGGGAGCTGCCTTCCTGGCACGTCGGTAGCATTGGTGCTCAGCACGGAAAACAAGATCGACGGAAAAACCAAACCAAAGAAAAAAAAAAAAAAAAAAGAAACACTGAAGTTATTGCAGTTTGAAGCCTTACCTTCATTTATATGAGTGAGGAGGCGGAGGTATAGTTAGCCCCCCCTTCATCTCTTAATATGGCTATGAAATTGAATAATTTTGAATAATTCATCTGAACATATCAAATCGATAAGATAAGAAACTCCGAAGTTATTTCAGTTTGAAACTTTACTTCTATTGATATGAGTGACATGGCTATTTGCGATGAAACTATTGAGTGTAGCTTTTTGATGCGTTGTAGAATGTTTCTTTATTTTTTAAGTACTTTATTTAAGTTATGAAAATTTTTGGTTTAGGAGGGTATACACTCAGATAAAAAAACTAACTTTTTTATATTGCGCATTTTGCACCTTCTTAGACAACTGTGCAGAAAATTTCTGCACAGTGAATATTTTCGCACACCCAGCGTACACCTATCTCTTACTCACACAAACGTAGCCTAGCTATGTCAAAGAGAAAGATCGGGCAATGCTAATTGTATAGTCTCTTTCATTCCCCTACTGTTACCATTTAACAACAAGTGTGACGTCAAACTCACTGTTCCATTCGAATGCAAGCGAAGGAAAAAACAACAAGCTGCACATTGCCAGACCTCCTCTCCTTGTCTTGGATAGCCTAGTTGGCTTGTGATTTGACAGATCGTGAGAAATTTTATTTTGTTTTGTTTTGGTTTTGATGGTTTGCTGCTGCTGTTTTGAATTGTGAATTTTCGATCGAGGAAATTAATTAATGTGGAATCTACTCTGGTTGGTAAATGATCGCATTTGGTTTCCGTACTCGAATTAATTTTATTTGTGTTTTTTCAACAGAAATCGATTCTGAAATGGGATCCGAACCAGGAAATAATCACCAGCGGGAAAGTGACGAAGCCGGTTGTTCGTACTTGAACGTGGAGTTTTTAAATTATCTGGATGGCAATATGGACTGCGATTTCAGTGATCAAACCGAAGATCCGATCGGAGGTGCTCAGCAAGTGGACTACGAGCTGGATCAGGAGAAATCGGGTGATTCATTGTTCGTCGGTGAAGAAGTTGCTGGTGGTACGTTTTCACAAGAGAAACTTCCAGAAGGGCTGTACGGTTGCTGGCTGCTTGTTGCTGTTCGGGATTTTAAGGGACATTCATCTGGACGGGAAATTGGCAAGTGGGGCGTTGCAGGAAACACGCCTAGTGAATTTCTTCACCAGTGCTGGTTGATGTCCCAGCGATTTCTGAAGCGGGAAGTGATATTCAGGTGCAATGAAAGCGGCGAAGCTGTACCTGTGTGGGGTGAGGAAAACCCCCAGGAAATGGATTTCGCACGATTTGCTTTGTTCAACGATAAGGCTAACCACAGATACTATCCCGTTGACAAGGTAACAGCTAACATTTTGAATCACTGGAAGAAGAAGGACATTCACGTCCTTCTGCACGTTTATTCACTTTCCGTAAGTAACAGAGCTGTCTTCAAAACGGTTAAAGATTCACTACTGGAACCAGAATCTAGGGACAGGGCTGGTGCTGCATCGAACAGAATGGTTGATGATCTTGCAAAAAAACTGCGTGATAAGCATGGAAGCTGCTGTCAAGCTCAAGACATTGCTTGGATGATGTGGGCCAATTCGATTTTTGCTGCTGATCCTTGTCAACGAGATAGTTTGATCGACGAGGCACCTCCAGCACACTTAATTAAACTATTTTCTACCAGAGAACAACCCGCAATCCGATCGATAAAACGGAGTTTTGCCATGGCTCATAGCGTGAATGCAGGTTACCACGATGAAGTTGTCGTCATCCGCAAAACGTTCTGTGAATTGGAGGGAATCGTTCAAACTTTGACGACTAAAATGGAGCAACTAAATCGATCGATCGAAGCATTGGAGATACGTGATACTATGGGTGAATCATTTATTTCTGCAGCAGAGGAAACGGTTCGAACTGAGGAGACAAGCTTTTCTGATCAACTAGCAGCTCGAGTTCGTGAGCAAGAAGACGTGGATCATTATTAATTTCATTGATCGTTTTAACTTGTTGGTTGTGTTTTGCAATGCGATGGGATGGTATAATCGTTTTTTAATGAATAAAACAAAATTACAATAAGCTTCTATGCGTTTGTTTATTAGAATGCACTCAATTGAGATCTAACTGAATATTGTATCACGTCGCTTCTCTGAGTTTTCTTCAAACCCAAGCATGATTAAGTCATTTTCAATCGAATCGACCACCTCGGATATAGCCACATTTTCGGTACAAGTTTCCCAGTGGATATCTAGAGAACTCTTCCATGATTTCCGCTACAACCAAATTCATATCACGACGAGAACACTCTCCGTAGGTTCTTTTCAGGTGCTGTTTAACAAGTCCAATAACAATCTCTTTAGGGTTATAGAACGGACAATAAGCCGGCAAGAAAATGGGGATTATACCCAAGGATCGCAGGTAGTAGATGATCATGGGGTCACAGTGAATACGCGCGCCGTCAAGAATCCAAACGGAAGAGTGTCCGGGATACATTTCTACATCCGTTGAATTCCTGATGAATTTTTGATAGCATTCAAAAAACTTACTCCGGTTAAACGTTCCTTCCGTACTGAACACCTCTTTCATCCCATCCTGTCCAATGAAACACAAAAGAGACACTCTTGGTTTCCGGACAAATTCTCCTCGACAGATCAGCCGTTCCCCTCGTACTCCATAGCCTCGGGTCCTCAACATTCCTCGATTATCGAAACTAACCTCGTCAAGAAAAATCAAGTTGTGATAATCCCATTGAATGCTTTACAGCTCCTCACAAAATCGCAAGATATCTTCTCTGCGGATCTGAACAGCTCTACGTTCAAGAGCTTTCCATGAGAGTCCTTCATTATGGAGGATGCGGCAGATAGAGGATGTCGATATAAGAATGGAGAAAGTTCTTTCAAATTCTTCTTTGGCTTCATCGAGGTACAGTGTTGGATCTTTTTTAAACAGCTGCACAAGCCATTGCCGTTTATCCGCTCCGAATTTTTTGCATCTCTAGCGTACTCCTTTCTGGAAAAACATCCGTTTTGCTGGTAATTAGAAATCCAGTTAGCGATTGTTGATTTATGTTTCCGGTAAATTGACGCCAATTTGGCTTTCGAAAGTCCCAGGAAAAAATAACCGTATAAAGCATGGTAAACGGTATTATCCGATGCACGGCGCTTGGTAATTTCCTGAAGGATATCTGTAATCCTGGTGATAAAAGGGAACAATTAATAAATAGTGTAAAATTCAATAAATAGTTGCAAGAAACATACATTTGCTTGTAACTGTCAGATAAATCTTTGAGAACGAGATAAATACAAATAAAATGTTTGCATAACACTGTCTGACATAAGGGTTAAGTAGTATTAGTGAGTGCGCAAGCATAACTGTCACTGAAATCTTCTCGCAGAAGTCTAAAAATTCGTGCAATCAACAATATCTTGTGAAAATTTGATGAACACCTAAGGAACCATTGAAGATGAAGTCTTTTTAAGAAACTTTGTCCAAAGTTTAAACTTTCTATCTCTCAAGTGGACGAAGTTATAGGGTGAAAATGGACTACAAACGGTACCATAACTTTTTTCTTTGAATTTTCTTGGTTTTCAAATATTCTACAAAGTTGTAAGTGCTTAGAAAACGCACATTTTTGCTCATGACAGTAAATCGTTATCTCTTTGTTGAAACGATTTATGCCAGTTTTTACATTTTTTTACACTATCTTTAAGGGGGTGTACCTTGCAGGTTAGCAGGTATTAGCAGCATATGACAACGTCATTTCATTCAGCAACTTATACGCTACTGTTTCATATACAATTCATAGGGGGATCCAAGGGGAAGCTTAATAAATTTTCAAAACATGTACCTCAATGTTTTGCTACGTTTTGCTGTTTTCATGAAGATTTTCCTGTCTGAGATCAGCAACCCGTCTTCTCTGGCTGCAAACAGTCAGTTCATCGAAAGCTTTCTTTGTCTGAATATCTCGAGAAGAACGCGATTCAGGAAAGACTTGTCCAGAAAGCCACGTTTTATTACGCATATGAAAAAGAGCTCTGTTCCGCTTGCAATTAAGCCATTTTTGTTGCAGGTTTGAACAGAACCGGATGACAATTTCTTTATGCTTTGCAGTAAACTTTCATCCACCAGTCTTCTTCTTAACATACTCCAAAACACTATTATTTCTCTTTTTTGGATCTGATTGAAACCAAACACCACACAACTCTGATCTTAGATGATTCAACATATCAAGACTCTTAAAAATTACTTTTGAAAACCTGTCAAACTACAGCCCGATAAATTGACTGAATAACAGCATGCACGGAAAAATAAAACAATACAAAAATTGAATATATGATTTTTCCAGGATTCGTTAGTGTCAACATCAATTACGGGATTAAACGCAAATAAGTTTAAATAAATGTGTTACCACCTGCTGTATTGCCATTTGATAGCTAGTGCAAATGTTTAACATAATGACTTCTTTTGTCATAATTAACAGTAAGCAACACGTTTTTTGTCTTCATGTATGTACATTAGACTGATGCAAAATTTGACTTTTTCGCTCCACAGTGCTTAAATGGTTTCAAATCGGGTCCTGATTAGCCTCCCAAAGTTACAACTCATTTGGTTAGAAACAGACTTCGCACAAGCCATTTGAAGTTTACATGTAAATTACTATGGGAAATCTCAACTTTTTGTTCATTGCCTTCTAGTCTTTTTCCATATTGAGCTGCGAAACAGTTCGATTGCTATTCTTATAGAAAATTTTCCCAGCTACAACTTTGCTGAAGATCGTTTCTATGTAAAACGAGACAAAAAAAAAGTTATTAATTATTTAAGAGATTGGTAAACTTATGACATGATCAAGCAGTTGCTCTGTAGGCAACACTGTAGTTTGCAGTGTGACATAGTAGCCATGACTTTTGTGTCCTATTCAACGTCCCAGAAACACCAATGTTGCCTGCTGAGCAGTTGATTGAGCATGATCATAAGACATCAGCGCATTGAACCATTGATTACTTTCGATCCTTGCATTTAATCAAAAAGTGGTCTTGAGCAAAGTTGTAGCTGGGAAAATTTCCTACAAGTACAGCTGAAAGTTTTTGAAGCAGACAAATATGATGAATTATTAGATAGACATGAACAAAAATCTTGGTTCTACCATAGTAATTCCCATTCAAACTTCAAATGGTTTGTGCCATCTCAGTTTCTCACCAAATGGGTTCAAATTTTGAGAGGTTAGTCAGAATCCGATTTGGAGTCGTTTAAGTACTGTGGAGCGATACTTGGAAAAATCTTCATGAAAACAGCAAAACGTAACAAAACATTGAGGTACATTTTTTGAAAATTTATTAAGCATCCCGTTGGATCTCCGTATGAATTGTATATGAAACAGTAGGGTATAAGTTGCTGAATGAAATGACGTTGTCATTTGCTGCTAATACCTGCTAACCATTTTCATCCTTTAACTTCGTCAACTTGAGAGATAGAAAGTTTAAACTTTGGACAAAGTTTCTTAAAAAGACTTCATCTTCAATGTTTCCATAGGTGTTCATCAAATTTAACAGGACATAAAAAAGTTATTTTTTTTATCTGAGTGTATACCTTCCTTAACCAAAAATTTTCATAACTTAACTAAAGTACTTAAGAAATAAAGAAACATTCTAGAAGACAACAAAAAGCTTTACTCAATAGTTTCGTCGCAAATAGCCACGTCCCACTTTTTTTTTTAATTCGTCCCACTGTGGACCGGGATCGCCTCCTCCAGCATGGTCTTGCTTAATAGCTGTGCCTTTACCGATTGAGCTAAGGTAGGCCCCATAGCTTACACATTTCCAGATAGTATTTCCAATGTCACATTCATTGTTCCCGGAAATTTGACCAAGAACATCACGTTGAATTTCTACAATATTCTCATCTACAAAACTCCCTGAATTCCACGAAAATCTAGCCGAGCTTCTACGTAGTTCGTTGAACTTCTACGAAGTTCGTTGAACTTCTACATAATGCCTTGCTCTTCAAAGAAGTTTTGCGAAGTTTGTTGATATCCTATTTTATTCGCTCAACTTGTAAAAAGATCGCCAAACTGCTAAAAATTCGCTTCTATGAAGCTTTTAGAACTTTCAATAATTTCGATTATTTTCTGTTCCCTGAAGTTCTATAAAAAATATGAAACTCCATAGATCTCCTTAAAATATTCTTAATTAATTTTTTTATGAACTGCTGGCGACAAAAGAAGGCTTCGGAATTTTAATAGAGTTTAGTTCAATAAAACAATGTTTCATTAACTGCATTGAAGTTTCCCAAACCTGTACATCTTTCCCACTTTTACACAGCTTTCCAAAAAAATTAAATTAGATTCCAATAATATCAACGATTTCACTTGAACATCTCCAAATCCACTGAAGTTTAAAGAAACTCAATGAAGATAAAGAAAAATTCCAAACTTTGACGAGCTTCCCCAATTTTTTAAAAATTTCTATAAATTTTGATGAAGTCTTACAGTTCTACAAAGTTCACTGAAGTTTTACGAAGCTCACTGGATTTTTATGAGGTTTGCTGACCTTTTACACTAATAGCTGAACTTCTATAAAATTGGATGCACTTCTAGAAAATTTCCAGATATTCTACGCAGTTCCTTAGGTTCTAAGAAGTTTTCTAAGGTGCTATAAAATTTCTGAAGATTTATGAGGATTCTTAAAGTTATATAACATTCCCTAAAATTTTAAAAAGATTCCCAACAATCTACGAAGTTCCCTTAAATCATAGCTTCTGCGAATTTTCATTGATTTCTAAGAAGGTTCCTGAACTTCTATAAAAACGATAAATGTGAAAGAGTATACATCTTTCACCACCCGTACCCGAGCAGGAAAAAATAACTTATTAATACCAAATTCAGATATGACAATAGCATAACTGGTAACCTAAATATGGTATTAGTGAGGCTGACATAAGAGGTAAAATACCAAAAATAATAC